ATACAAGTTTCACTTTTTAAATAGAATTACTGAAATAAATCTACTTTTTCATGATATTCTAATTTTATGACCAGCACCTGTATACACACACACACACACATGAATGAATATAGTATACAAGTTTCACTTTTTAAATGGAATTACTGAAATAAATCTACTTTTTCATGATATTCTAATTTTATGACCAGCACCTGTATACACAAAATGTTTCAAAATGCTGTAAAATGGACAAAAAAGCTGAAATTAGTAGAAAAGTAGCTGAAAAAGCTAAATAGCACAAAGAAGCAGAAATAACACGTTTGCTGAATTAAGCAGTAAGAAGTTGAAATTATTGCAAGTAGGTGAATATAGCTGAAAAATGCTCAAATTAGCTGAAACAGCTAAAAAGTAGCTTAAATCATCAAAAACAGCTGAAAGAAGCATAAAAAGCTCAAATTAACTGAAACGGCTAAAAGTAGCTTAAATCGTCAAAAACAGCTGAAAGAAGCATAAAAAGCTCAAATTAGCTGAAATGGCTAAAAGTAGCTTAAATCGTGAAAAACAGCTGAAAGAAGCATAAAAATCTCAAATTAGCTGAAACGGCTAAAAGTAGCTTAAACTGTCAAAAACAGCTAAACGAAGCATGAAAAGCTCAAATTAGCTGAAACAGCTAAAAATAGCTTAAGCTGTCAAAACAGCTGAAAGAGACATAAAAATCCCAAATTAGCAGAAAGAAGCTGACAGACATATATATTTTTTAAATCAGTAAAAAGACAGCTGCAAAAGCTAACATTAGCAAAAAAGAAGCTGAAATAACTTGAAATCAACACAAAGATGTACAAAGAAAATGAACAACAGATGAGAAGTGCAGTAAAAGTTTATAAAACATTTAAAGTGCTCTTTGGAAGTTGAATAGAGCTCTATTCATTTTCAGTCATTTACTGTATATATGTCCAAAAAAGCTACTGTATAATCCAAAAGTATGAATTGCTGACATATCAAAAGTTATAGCTGAAATGTCCTGAAGGAGCTGAAAGTTTTGATTTATGAAATATCACAATAAAAAAAAGTACGGGAAAAAAAATTGAACGATCTCAACCCAATAATTATTCTCAAAAACATCAGCCAGCAGCAGAATGGCTGTGAAAGCAAAGAAATTGTTTGTTTGTTTGTTTTACTGAAAAATTAATATATTTCAGCAGTTCTAACATAGATGTTTTTAAGTTACAGGTTTATCTTGATATGTGGGCAGTCTATAACCTTTGATTTTACCCACGCATCCCCCCCATCCTTCTTTAGACTATAATTTGTTAAATCTGCCGTGTAACCAGATAACCACCCAGTTAGGATTAAAAGAAATAAAATCTTTGTGCGAATTATGAACTTGTGCGACTCATGAATGCTGACAGAGCTCATCCCGTTTGAGAGAGCCGACTTTTCAGGTTTTGTGTTCTGCTGTGGGAAACAGGTGAGCCGGAACTGAACGCTCTCATTAAACACAAGTGATGACTTCACAAAGTGACGTTCAAGTGGCTCAGCAGTGGTGCGATGTGGCATCACTGGTGCAGCCATTTCAAGAAGTCATTAAGCTTTTATTAGCTCCTGGAGTGAAACCTTACTGAAATACTAGCGACACAGAAAGTAAAAGGAGAACAAAAAATAAAAATAAATCATATATTCAGAGAGGGGTTCCCCACAAAATGCACAAATTGGTTTTATTTATAATCTCAGTGCACATTTAGCAGTTTTCACTTCGTGGAGTTTCAACCTGTGCGGAGCCACATGAATAAATGATGTTATTAAAAAAAAAAGAAAACTTGGCCGAATAAAGTGGCAAAATGTGAGGGAGTAGCTGTTTAGCTAATCAACACAACACTCAACACAGCTGCCCTGTGGTTTAGTGCCCTCCTGCAGCAAAACCCCTTCAGTTTCTGACCCAGTTTTTAAACTAGTGGCTATAAAAATGTCATTGTGCCTCTTCAAATATAAATGAGCATTAATGATGGAAATGTTCAAAGTAGAAAGACTAATTATAAATGTTTTCAGTGCTTTTTTTCCACCTCTTTCTGCAACAAATGTTTAACAAACTAGACAGTAATATTTTAATCCCGAGTTGCTGAGCATAAAGCAGATATGTGTCATGGATTCTTACTGTCTTCCAGTCTGCTCAGCTCCACACAACCTCTGGCTGAAGACACAGATGACAACCGCACCGGTAATACGACGGAAAAAACCCCTCATGAAGGATGTCCTTGTGTATGTGTGTGTGTCTGTCCCATTAGTGTGGACTGCACAATCTAATTAACCCTGCGTAATTTAGTCACACTAAAGGTACATGCGATCATGCACTTGCACACTAATACGCATACTAATCCAGAACTTACATTATCTGTAAGTTTTTAATCCCCCACCCGTCGTTTTCTCCTCAGCATGAATCATGCAGATCTCAGCATTTTTAATCTGACCCAACGATACAAACAAG